TATGGGCCCACTCTTCCATCTTCTTGAGATCTTGTTGAAGTATTGCGGTCGCTGAAAGATTTGATGAAACGGTATAGAAGACAATCATCTGTGAATAGTCGTATTTGTGATTTAACAGAATCGGTAGGTCATTGATGTGGATAAGAAATAACAAGAGGCTGAGGTCCGTGCCATGGGGGACCCCGTAAACAACAGGGTTGTCTTTGGAGAATTTGCCATCTACTACTACGCGCATATGGGGATTACATAGCAAGGAAAGTGCCCATGGATCTAAGGAGTCCACGTATCCCATAGTGTTCCAGCTTATATAATAGCTTGTCATGTGGCACTGTATCAAACGCCTCGGAAAAATCTAATATTATGACGTCAGTTTAGTGACCCTTATTGTAGTTCTTGACAAAGTTGTCAATGGTTGAGTTTTGCATGAGTACCCAGAGTGAAAACCGTGGTTAAGGGTTGTTAGGATGTTGTTTTGTTCAAAGTGTTGTAGTTTTGTTTGCAGCATACTTTCCAACCCTCCCTATTTAGGAGGGAGACTCTCGATTTTGGACCCTTATATTCAGTATCTTTAACCAGTGGATTTGCCAAATCATTCCTATATTCTAAGATCTAACTTTTTCATCTGAAAGAACAACTCAAAATATTTTAATTTTGAATCTCCCCCATGGAAATTAAGATAGTTGGCAAGTATATTGCAGACAATATGCTCTGGATGCTTGGAAACAACAGACGTAAAGGTCACTGGCCTATAGTTTTCAGGGAGGTATCTGTCTCCCTTTTTTTAGATACAAGGGGTAACGTTTGCATTGAGCTAGTCAGATGGTTGACGTCCACTATCTAGTGACTTCTGAAAAATCAGGCTGAGCGATGGTGTTGTGGTGAAAGTGCCTAGGAAGTACTGGCTATCAAGCCTCTGGGTGATCTAGAAATCTGATGAGATGTCACGTGACTGAGCGAGGAGAGCTCTTGACGATTGAACGACTGAACCGAACTGACGTGTGCTGACTAGCCCGTCGATATAACGACCTGATAACTCTATCGTTTTCGCTCGGACCTTCCAGCCTGGCGGACCTCACCCAGACGTTCGACAACTATCCTGGTGAGTTGCCATTTTAGTTTGTAGAAATATAATAATGTATTAAATTCCGTTCGCGCTTAGGGTTGTTTCGCCCGTAATCCTGTTTGCCCTAGGTTGTTTCGCCCTAATTATTTTTTTTGATTTATGGGCTAATATAATAATTAATATTTAAATATATCAACTACTTCTACTTCTAAATGGTACTGACCAACTTCAACAATTTGAAGATAAAATGTCAGACGAGGAGTGAAACATGGAAAGAGATTGTTTTTAAAAGATACAAGATGGTCTAATTTGCGTTTGAAAAGTGACGGTAGAGGGCTCATTTGAATAATTCAGTTGTGGGGCTCGAAATAATGTCAGGTGGGAGTTTATTCCATTCAGGTATAGTTCGAGGGAAGAATGATGCCTTTCTGGTCTGGGTTTTTGAGTGGGGAATATGATACGAAAACTGGTGGTTTGTTCGGGATTTTCTAACTGTAGGGATTAATCCGTCTTATTTTTCGATAGCGACTTTCTGGTTTACAATGTTATGAAGCATGGTCAGACGAGCATCTCTACGTCTATCTGCTAGAGGGCGCAGCTTTAGGTGGTCCAACATTTCTGACACACTGGAGGTACGATGGTTGTACCTGTACTTATTGAGCACATAGCGCGCTGCCCTTCGCTGGACCATTTCCAACTTGTCAATATTTGTTTGGGTGTGAGGGTCCCATACTCTACAGGCATACTCAAGTGATGATCGAACTAATGATTTGTATGCCTGTACTTTGGCTGATGTTGAGCCAATTTTAAGATTTTGTCTTAAAAAGCCAAGCGTAGAATTTGCTTTTGGGCAGATAGTATTTATATGTGAATCCCATTTAAGGTCAGATGATATTGTTACACCCAGATACTTGGCCTGACTAAGATGTTCCAGTATGTGTCCATGTAAAGTATAATCTTTTTGAAGTGTTTCGGCATCACTGTTTGACTTGATAACTAGATATGCAATAGTGTCGTCTGCAAATAAACGGATTGTATTATTTAGACCCACAGGGATATCGTTTATAAAGTAAAGAAATAAACTGGGTCCCAAAAAAAATTCAGACTTCTCCCCTTCATCTACTACTGTCTGAGTTCTACCGGTCAGGAAACTCTCGATCAAGCTTGCGACATTTCCACGTATACCATAATGTTTTAGTTTATGGTTTAGGAGAGAATGACTAACCTTGTCGAAAGCCTTAGCAAAGTCCATTATGAGGATATCTGTTTGACATCCCTCATCAAGATTCTTTGAGATGTCATCAACAAATTCAAGAAGTTGGGTTTCGCATGATCGCGATTTGCGAGAACCATGTTGGAACGGATACAATATGTTATGGGTATCGACATGGGTCATGATAGTGGAGACCACAATGTGTTCCATAATTTTGCTACAGATACAGGTCAGAGATATGGGCCTGTAGTTTTCTGGGTGAAATTTTGGACCCTTTTTATAAGCAGATGATACATTTGCAGATTTCCAGTCTGAAGACACTATGCCTGTTTCCAGAGACTGATTAGATATTAGGGTTAAAATCGGGGCTATTTCTGTTGCAAGCTCTTTTAGAACTCTGGGTTTGATGTCATCAGGGCCTGAGGCCTTGTATGGATTAATGCCTTGAAGCAGTTTTAAGACACCCTTTTCATGTATAAAAAAATTCAGGCATGGCAGGGTATTTATCGTGAGAAGGCATGTTGCATCTAGTGCGAAACTGCTGGTCGGTAAAGATTTCAGGAGGAGTAAAAACAGATTGAAATTGTGCGTTTAGCACCTTGGCCTTAGTGGTAGGGTCATAAACAAATTTACCGTCCTTTTTCAGAGGAGCTATATGCCACTATGGTCTGATCTTTTGGATTTTATATATGACCAAAACCGTTTTTGCAGGAAAATTTGTTTTCTTTGGTTGTGTTTTCTGGGGTGATGATATTATCAATATGGCTGCAGTAAGATGTTCAGTTTTCTTTGTATATGATGTTTCAGGTTTTTATACTTATATTTTATTTCAGTATCTCCTGATTTTTTTGATCGTTTGTTCAATCTATTACTTCTCCTGATAAGTTTCTTTTTGTCAGGGGTAACCCAAGGTAGGCTGGGTTTTGTCTTAACTATCTTGTGGGGGATATGTTCTTTTATGAGTTTAGACAATTCAATTTTGAAATACTCCCATATTTTGTTGACGTCCCTCTCGCTATTTTCTGTCATAAAGTTGTACACCTTGATAAGCTCAGCTTTAATTGAATTCCAGTTTGAGTTTTTATATACTGGGATGGATATTGGTTTTTGAATAATTTTTGTGGGGTATGGTTCAACTCTGCATAGATTATGTCGTGGTCAGAGAGACCAGGGATAATTTCCGTTCGAATTATTTGGTTTGGGAAATTTGTTATGAGATCAAGGATATTTTCATTTCTGGTGGGTTGATCGATTAACTGGCCAGGTGAGTGCCGTGTCATCCAGTAAGTTGGCAAGATCATAGTGTATTTTTACATGATTTGTTTTGGGTTTGAGGACTTTATTTTTCCAGTACCAGCCTGGGAGATTGAAGTCGCCACCTATAATGAGGGCTGCATTATTAATTTTGGCTGCTTCTTTGATGGAATAGCTAAACAATCTCATACTGTTTTCATCAGATGTTTTGGGATGATAGAAGGAGCAGATATAGAGTGTTTTACTCCCGATTACATTCACTTTGGCCCATATAGATTCACTGGCCTTATTTGGTGTCAGATCATGTACTTAGCGATCAGTACACCACCACCATCTTTATCAGTGTCTGACTTTTTTTCTGTCATTTCGGTAGATCTTATAACCCGAAGGGAAGATTTCGGCTGATTTTATGCTCAGGTTAAGCCAGGTTTCAGTCGAAATCACTATATCAGGCGTAGTGCTATCCAAGACATTTTCAAGAAGATGTTGTTTATTTCGAATCGACTGGAAGTTGATATTAACAATTCGCAGTGGTTGATTGATAACTTTCTACATTGGTGAAACATACGCAACTGTGTGAGTGCATGGTCAGCTTTTTACAGCTGCTGTTTGTCACACACGCAAGCACATTTTGTTTTGAAATATAATAGTGTATTAAATCCCGTTCGTGCTAAGGGTTATTTCGCCCGTAATCCTGTTTGCCCTAGGTTGTTTCGCCCTATTTTTTATTTTTTTATTTATAGGCCAATATAATAATTAATATTTAAATATATCAACTTAACTTATTGATAACTTTCCACATTGGTGAAAGATATGCAACTGTGTGAGTGCGTGGTCAGCTTTTTACAGCTGCCATTTGTCACACACGCTTAAAAACAACACAAGCACATTTTTTTTTTTTATAAATTGATTTTAATGATATGTAAGACTTAGAAGACTTGATTTGTGAATTAAAACTACTAAATTTTAAAGAAAATACCAAACAATGTATCGCCCTAAAATATCTGTTTTAGGGCAAAACAACAACGCGCGAAACAACCTAGGGCGAATGGGGTTTAAGGTGAAATAACCTGGAACCGGTGTCGCAATTGCGAAGTATACTGTTTGGGATAAGTTCAGGTCTAGGAGCTTTGGAGACCTTCATGGCTTTAGCAAAGACAATACTCCGTTTTTGTTGATGGTAATATCTGGTATTGGATCTTTTACTGTATGGGACAAAGGCGGGGGTTTGCCATGAAGGACTCTGGTGAATACTGATTTAAATTGATCCACTAGAGCTTCGGCCTATCGGCCTCTGGTAACTTCTGGTATTTTTTGTCAGTTTACATGTACGACGTCAAAACGTTTAAAATATGCTTGTATAGTGTTAAGCAGATTATATAGTCACGAGCGAGATATATCTCAGTGGGGGATCCAGGGAAAGCAATCACAAGACGATACAGTAACGTCAAACTCCACAGTCCCACTTACCTCTTCAACCCAATTTTCAATCAAACACTGACTGTTCGAATTGTTAAATCGAATTTCATTCCTTCCTTCGTTAAGAATACTCATTGTTAAGTAAGATGTCGCTACACCTGAACAGTCGACACGAACAGCCTGCCTCAAGTGAGTTTCTATGGAGATTGTAAACAACAATAGAAGAGCTACTCAAGGGGAATAACACGGGTGACCAAATGAGTGTCCAGGGAGGAATGAGTGTCCAGGGAGGTTTTCGTGCGCCCATGAATTCGTTATATTACTAGTTTTCCTTTTTTCTTCTTCAGGAATATACATTTTATACACTCACCTAGTTGTATGCAAAATTTAATGTCGATCGTAACAGTAGAGGGGTCCGTACAAACGTCGATTTACCCAATGCAACCCAATACTACCCAATACAAGCGCCGATTTACCCAATACAAACATCGATTTACCCAACATAACCCAAAACTACCCGATACAGAAAGAAAAACTGATATACCAAATAAGTATACAATTAAAGTTAAATATATGTAGATCTTAATCGGGCGTACTTGTAAATGTATTTTCATTATGTATTAAGTAAATTATGACGGGAATGATATACAATAATTTATCGCTGTTACATTGGAAAAATTATTGCAAGATATATTTCATCATTTATGAAGTAATTATATCAATTACCACGGAAATGATATACAATAATTTATTGTTGTGATATTGGATAAAATATAGGTAGCAGTGACCCTAAAAATAAAGGGCATGTCTCAGATAAACATGGATAGTGAATTCAACCTGCACAACACACCTACATATATATACATATTTATAAACTACATTTTGATTTCATTTTGTTTAGAAGACTGATTTTTTTTCAAAAACTGTTTTCCCCAGATTTGGGACTCGAGAAAACCATGGTTACCACATCAAAAAACACACAAGAAAAACTGTCCGAAATTAAATACCGCCTACTCGTTAACAGAAATACTCACGTTTAAGCATAGGTCATTCCGGTTGATTTTTCACAATATTTACACATGGTGCTGAGTACAAAAATAGACTACATGAAAAGCTAGCTTTTGTTGAGTAGACACAGATTTGTAAATGCCAAAAACTGTAGTCTCAAACCAAATTCGATATTTTTTTTTAAATTATGAAGCCCACATAGTCCACTTCATCACGTAGATGCCAATTTTAGTGCTGATTTTGTTTTTAAATGTTGATACATGTTGTATTACAGGGGTTATTTATTGTATAAAAATATCGCCCATGGCCTTGTACGCTACTGTACACTGCTACCATAGAAGATGAATTTCATTATTTATGAAGTTCATTATCGCGGGAATGATATACAATAATTTATCGTTATCTTATCGGATAAAATATAGAAAAATGAATTTCATTATTTATGAAGTAAATAAACGCGGGAATGATTTAATATAATTCGAAAAGAAATCAAAGAAATACAGAAGTTATTGTTATTTGTAACAAGCATCACCTGTCAATCAATGGCTAGGTGCGAAACTGGTTCAGATGACTGGTTCAGATGACACGTGGCCAAAGCTCTCTAGCATTATTTATAATAATATAAGTAGTTGTATTAATTTAAAAATTGAGTTTTTTTTGTAATAATATTTTATACACCCGTCAAATTTGACGGGAGTATTATGGTATGGGGTTGTCCGTCCGTCCGTCCGGCGTAAACTTTTGTTTGTCCGGCAATCTCCTCCTACATTTTTCGACCAATCTCTTTGAAACTTGGTATACATCATAATCATGATATGAAGTTGTGTCTTTCTAAAAAGAATTTTGATTCAACATTTTTTCCAAAAGTTAATGCCCTTTGTTTATTTCAGTATTTGACTTTTGTCTGGCAATCTCCTCCTACATTTTTCGACCGATATCTCTGAAACGTGGTATACATCATAATCATGATATGAAATTGTGTCTCCCTTAAAAGAATTTTGATTTGATATTTTTTACAAAAGTTATTGCCCTTTGTTTATTACAGTATTTGATTTTTGTCCGGCAATCTCCTCCTACATTTTTTATAGCATGTCAGCTAACAACTCTTAGAATGATGCAGATCTTATTTCAATGTAAGAAAGTATATAACACTATATGGCATTCGACGGGCATATATTGTTCTTTCCCGCGGTACACTTGTGTTAATAATATGTGCCTCAAATCGCTATAAAATGGACAAATCAAAATAAAATGGAACTCGTCTTCTATATCTCTCAAATATATATTTGTTACACAATCCTGTTTCTCTGTATGATCTGATGATGTCTACACTGATGTCTAAATGAAACAGGTGTGTAAAGATGTGTAACTTTATGATTTCCAACGGCTTTACAAAAAGAAATCACTGGTAATTACATAAACTTACTCAGATTGTTTCATGTTCGGAAAAATAAAAAAACAAGAACAACGTAACTTGAATTCAAATAGTTACACACACATATATATATATATATTCATACGTTTTCAAAATACCGGTTTAGCTACAATGCTTAATTAGTTGCTGCTCGCGATCTCCTATATTCCAATACATTATTCTAGAAACAAACAGAAATATAGTTAATGATCCTAAAAAAAACCATTATTTTTTACGTAATGTCTTTATATATGTAAGTTCTAACAATACAACACATAACAAGTACAAATGGTAATATATGAGACTGAGTGAGTATAATTATGTTTTTTTCCGTTATTGTGAATGTCCTACTATCTACCACTAATGAAATATTCCATCATTCTTTCCAGACATAGTTTACTTGTTAATAGGTACAATATATTGTTGTTGAGACATTAAAAAATATGGCTAGGTTAAGAAAAGCATTTCACTAATGTGTATCCATTCGTTTACTGTTCCATTCGTGAATGAATCACAGCTTGAGTTCCTGTTCATGTGGTGCAAAATATAGAAAAAAAACAATACACCTGTTCTTCGAATGTCCTCTTTATAGGTATTTTAGGCATCACATCTTCTCTGTGTATAATCTATTAGGTTTTGTAAATCTTCATGTTTTATTATATGATGTCGTTAGTATGTCTAACGAAACTAACAGAAATATACTTAATCATACTAGTTCCTATTTAAAAAAAACTAAACGATTCTCAATTTATAAGTAATATCTTTATGCATGCAAGTTCTAACGATATAAAATATATCAATTACGAATGGTAGTATGAAAGTGAGAGAGTATATGTGTTCGTACATTATAGATAGTTTTTCGTTATTGTCCTATCTTCCATCTATAACTTCAATATACAATGTATTTATTTAATTAATGAAATTAAAATAATTGGATACCGGTATCTATAGTAAAAGACTTACATGTATATAAGCTAAGCCTGTTGTCTGGTCCATTTGTTAATGCATTATTGTTATTTTTCTTCTAAAATAATTGTATTTATCTTTGTATTAACAATGAAATATTTTGAAATGAAATAGATTGAATCAAGGATTTCCAAATAACGACGATCTTGCCAAAAATACCCGGGTCCGCACAACATCGTTACTTTTATTGGGTACATTTAACTTTATATTGGATATTCTAACACGATTCGTTTGCAACGCGTGTTTTGATTGGATNTAAATCTTCATGGTTGTATTGGGTAAATCGACACTTGCATTGGGTAGTATTGGGTTGTATTGTGTAGTATTGGGTGGTATTGGGTAGTATTGGGTGGTATTGGGTAGTATTGGGTGGTAATTCTCATTCTCAATTATTTCACAAGGTATTGTTTGTGTTTTTTTGTGTTAATTTATTTTTTATCAAATAATGCATGAAAATCTAATAAATCCTGATTTTCCGCTTTCCGGGTGCCGTACTTTTTTACTTCTGTCTATATTGTCGATATTATTTCCCAAATTTAGAAAAAAATATTTAAAATACTTTCAGGACAGGTAAACCTTCGATCTTTAATAGATATCACCAATGAATGACAAAGAAAGTATATTTTGGTCCATTCTCTTGAAATTGAGCGTATTTAAGGTCCATATCCCTCCGTTTCGGTGATACAGCGGCATCGAAAATCGTACCGTGAATCTCGGCTATTGCGCGTCTTTAAATGATAAATAAAAATTATTTCCAGTCTAATTTAACTACCTATCTGTTACATATAGCTCTATTGGATTATAAAGAATGCATATATGGGTCCATTCTCTCGAAATAATGCCAATTTAAAGTCCATTTCCCTCCATTTCGGTAATTCAACTCCATTCCGGTCCATTTCGGTAAATACTCCAACCCAAATTCGATCTCTTTTTATCTTTACTGTCTAGATCTGTTGTTGTTGTAAAAGTAAGAACNTGGGTAAATCGATACTTGTATTGGGTAGTATTGGGTTAAGTTTCTCCATTTTACATTTAATTACCGTATTGCACCAGATGATTGTTGTCTCGAGTTCGTCAGTTTGTTCGAGTTATTCCCCTTTATGCACTAATTTTGCCGCAACCAAATGCTGTACTTCGAACCAAATACGACCAGAGGCGAATACCGTCTCTGATACCGACCCGATACTATCTAATACTACCCAAAACGACCCAGTTATGCACCAAATAATGATGTGCATTGATCAAGTTGCCTTACAAGTTTCAACTGTAGGGAATTTTCCTTTAGCTCAGCGGCAGATCATAGGGCTGGAGACCCAACGGTCGCGGTTTCGAGCCCCAACGACAGCATTATCTTTCTCACTTTTCCTCGTCCTACTACAAATACTTTGATACTGTGTCCAATGATCACATTGGCACTTCCGACACTTTCAATGACACATCCAATGATTACATTGACATTTCCAATGATTACATTGACATTTCCAATTATCTCATTGACACTTCTAATGATCACATTGTCACTTCTAAAGACCGCACTGACACTTCCAATATCATACTTCCTATGCTCTTATTTGACACTTTCAATGACCACAATGTCTCTTCCAATAATGAAATTGACATTTTCAGTGATGACATTAACACTTCCAATCATTACATTGACATTTCCAATGAGCTCATTGTCTCTTCTTATGGTCACAATGACACTTTAAATAATCATACTTACACCTAAAATTATCACAATGACATTTCCAATGATTACATTTACATTTCAAATGATCATATTGTCACTTCCAATCGTTTCCAATGATCACATT